ATATATATATATATACATATATATATATATACATATATATATATATATACATATATATATATATATCCTCGTTATCATAGAACGAATAGGTCAGATTTTACATACCAGTTACCGATTGCACCGTGTTTTGTTCACGCCGTTTTTTTTTCTGTCTACAACCTTGCTATACTCATGTCGTTACCGCGAATATTCTCCAGGCATCAAACTGTCTGATTTCCACCAATTTATTTCGAAACAGATGTGGGATGAATAACAAATTCAAAGATGAATTTCCCAACGAATTACATGGGAAATTGGCTCCGGAGGAATTTCAAGAAACTATGCGCAAAATCAATAGTCGACTGGAAAATTCCCTCCCAACTCAAGTGCGTTGGTTATTCTGTGGACTGTTGTGTTGTTGCTGCACTGCGGGCTGTTCCCTTTGGCCCGTAGTTCATCTGAGTCGTCGTACACGACGTGATTTACAAAAAACGCTAGAGGCAGAGAACCATCGACTGTACAGCAATATTGGTCTTCGATTATCCTTAATCAAACAGCAGTCCACAGAATCTACCGCCCTCATGGAATATGTGAGTGAATTGTGTCATCCAACCCCTCGTGATTTCAAACGAATACCCCCCCCCCACATGCCTGGTAAATAAGCGATAATTGTGATGGTATTAATATTATGACTAACGTAATTTTAAAAGCTACAGCAATTATTGCAAAGCGTTGCACACACAATGTGTACACAAATTACAAATAATTCCATACTGCATCGGTCGTCGCGCAGGATAATCAGGACTGTGCTACCCATTGCATCGAGCGGGCTGGGTAGTGAGAAGTAGGCTACTACTCAGATATCCCAACCTTTCTTTAATTCTTTGTCTTCAGTACCCAGCCCTCCATTTTCCCCTTCTTCCGACCTGTAATAGTTCCTCAAGCAACTTGGATGTCGCTTGCCAAAGGTCGTTGCCAAATGGCACTGTAAGTAATGTATCACGAAACGAATTACAGATTCTAAAGTCTCGTCAATCACTAAATCTGGGGGCCTTCAAATTGAGAACCCTGATGCAGGTAGGTCAAAAAGCTTGTCTGGCACGTACGATGCAATCCTTAGGGATCGATATTTGCTGCGCGTCGGAAACTTGAATCCAAGATCCTACTACTATAAGCTACTTGAGCGCGCCAGATTTGTCTTCGAGATACGTTCTTCGCACAGCAGACGATGATGAAGCTCGTTCAGTAGGTCAGTGCGGGGGGTAGGTAATGTACTCAATAACAGGGCAGAGTCCTCTCTTATCGATTGGATTCCCGTCAACAGTCGTTTATGTGCAGTGCGTCTCTAGGGTTCAACCAGCCTCCGGAAGGGGAAGCAACACCAAAAGGTGTTTGTTCATCGTGTCAGCATATGCACCGACCAATTGCAGTTCAGCCTGAATTGGTGCCTGACACAGTTCAAACCTATTCAGTTTCCGTTTAAACGGCTATTCATTACACACTTTCGTGCGGCGGTTTTTGTTTCTGTCTTTTTACTGTCCATTCAGATGAAGGAGTACGCAGGACTTAAACACCTATGGCGGCGACGTGACGTTCCACTGAAGTTAAAATGTCGCGTATACTGCGCCACTGTACGATCAGTTCTGCTGTACGGTTGTAAGACCTTGAACTTGCGGGTAGAAGATATCCGTCGTTTAGCAGTGTTCGACAATCGATGCCTACGTAGGCTGGCCCAAGTGGGATGGAGTAAGCGGGTTAGTAACTTAGAAGTAAGTCGTCAGGTGTTTGGGAATATCTCAAACAAGAACTCGCTATCGCATCGAATCCAGCTCAATAGGCTTCGTT